ATTAATTATATCAACATTTTATAACTTTGTGTATTACTTGGGAATTAACTTTAATTTCGAGTCAAACGTTACACACTGTCGACTAGGATCGTAGGTAGATATTTGCAAAATAATGTTTTTATGCAACAATCAAAATATAAAATGGTTTTCTTGAGATATGACATTTCATTTAACATTAAGGTTAATATTATTTAATTGACACCAGTTTTCCAGATGCTAGGACTAGTTAGGCGCTGTATCACAAAGTCTAAAATATTACGATCAAACTTTAATACTTAATTTGAAACACAGCCTTCTAGTCGAGTCTACAAAATACATAAATAATAACATTGGCCCTTCGGGGCATTCTAAAAGGAATCTATTTTGATAATAATAAAATTTAGGGCCAGTCTTTTACTTTTGAGTAAAGTTAAAAGTAACTACTTGTAGAAGGGGGGGGGGTGGCTCAGTGGTAAAGTCTCTGCCTGCGGATCCAAGGGTCCCAGGTTCAAATCCCACCGTTGGCCGGGATTTTTTTATTTAATTTAATTATTTAAAATTAATTCTGATGCCTTGGTAGGATTCCCCATTTGATCATTTACTGTTGGGTTCTAGTTAACAGTGCTGTTCCTAAACTGGCACTGGGAAACAGTAACAAAACCTACACAAAACACGAGGAGAAATAACCACAGTAGTTGAAGCCGATGGCACATAAAAAAACTACTTGCTGTAGGCCTATTCCTTGCTAATCTGTCAACTAAATACATATGTAACTTTACTCAGAGGTGAAATGATCGACCTCTAATGCATACAAAAACATTAATTTATTAAAATGAGACAAACTGATTAAAAAAGAAGAAATTAGTAGAGCCATCTGTTATGTGACGAGAGAACGTCGAATGTCAAATGTCAACATGAATTAATAATCAATTTATTAATTTGCATTAAATAATGCAAACAATACTTCATTTTAAATTACAGGTGAGTATACAAAACGCTTAAATTATTCAGTTTAAAGGCGAAGACACCCTAGAGCTGCCAAGACCACGGCTGGTCGAAGAAGTCGCAGACGATCATATTCAAACACCAGTGTATTATCCCGCCCTATCAATATGCGGCCAGCTGGTCGTAGCAGCCACACTTCATCAACCGACCAAAGTACCAACCGATCGTTGGTATTAGGCAGATATAACAGAGATATATCCATTCATTGATAAAATATAATATTTACGATGCCAAGATTAATTCGACAATCGATACACTATTTGTAGACGCGGGGCGAGGAGACGAAAGGTGAGAAGTAAGAGAAGGGATAAAAAGAAGAATTTTACGCAGATACAACTTATTTTTATCAATGAATAAATGTGTAAGCCGCTGTGCGCTTATAATAAACAACGTAAATATCAATGCCTGTTGCCACTTCCAACCTAACATGAGTAGGTTTTGGAATTTATTGAAAATTATTACTTCTAATTTAGTGAAATTACACATAAATTAGTTAAATTTAATATAACTAATGATTCAAAATTTTTTTGGTTCAGTTGCAATAAAATTGGTTCAATTATTTGAGCTTTTTTAATATATGTAAATAATTTTTGTAAACAAAACGAGAATAATGAAATAGGCATATTACAACAGCGGATATTATACCTGCCTGTGTCCCTTAGAATATGTCTTATTCAGGACCGCACGATATTTGTTAGTAGTTACATCTACTCGTTATCTCTTGTATTAGAGCTGTTACGAAATAGCTTTTTGACGTATCTAGTACGACCTGTACCTGTTCCAAGTAGATACCTATTTTATGACAGAATATTGTTGGCTCTTGGGCCATATTTAGTAGGTAGTAGGTGAATCCCATAAGCATAATATATATTATCGATCGATATTGAACCTAAAGCGTGCTGTTGTTTACATAATAACATTAATTAAATTATTGTTCAATATGAATAGACGTTCGAGTGTAGTGTGGGATTTTTTTTCGGTGGTAGATGACAAAAACAAATTGCAAAATGTAATGTGCAAAACAGTAATTTCTTATAAACCCACAGTGGCTAATTTAAAAAAAAAACACCTTCTAAGTACAATTACAATTAATGTGAATAATTTTGAAAAGGTCATTGATTCGTAAATATTTTCTTGTCTTATAATGGTTATTTAACGAACAAGTGTATTAATAAGGGCGATTAACAATCAAGGTAATCTAACGCGCGAGCAGAGCGAGCGCGTTACTATTCGAGATTCTTAATGGCCATTTTAATTCACGGGTTCCTTACAGAACTTTTCCGTCGACCGTACTTACTTTCAATTTTTATTTATTTATGCAATAAATTCAGCGTATGTTTTCTCGTATAACAGTTTCCTTTTATCAGGGAATAAACTTACCGGTATTGCATTCGCAGTTTCTGCCACTTCTGGTAGAGTTAAATTAACTCTTCGTCAACATCCATTTTTTGATTTTAAACTATACATAGAGTTTTGAATTTTAAGAAATTAAATAATCACATACAATGACAGATATTATTAACACACCTTCTTGATTTTACATGTATATGTGTACGTTGAGTTGCATATAATAAAATCGTTGATTAATAGAAAATCATTCATTAATAGCCCACACAGCATACGACGTCCATTTTGTCCAAATAATGTCCTGGATGTCCATGAACTTTATATGGATATCAATTGGACATCCATTTTTCGTTAACCAATGGATATACCCATTCAGAAGTCCAATGGATATCCAAAAAATGTCAAACTTATAATAAATTATTATAATTCTTCTAGTATAATTTAATTATTTACAACTAGGGTTTAATTAAAATAAGTCAATTAATTTTCCTCTCCTTTTCGCTACTGTTGACAAGATACAAAAGTAAAAGGCCATTCAGACCAAAAGAAGAAAAGAAGAAGAAAGCGGTTAACAAATACTAAAAACTTGCTAAAACCACAAGAACGACACAGCACAGATAAAATAATATTAATTTATCTATGGTTCACAGATGTAGGCCACAGATATGTAGTTTATCTGTTAAGAAAATAAGTATAATTAACATTAAATTATTTAAACATCCAAAAATTAAGAAGCAAATCGTTTGTTTTAAACTAAAACCTATCAATTATGTTCTAAACTTTATATTTTCGATATACATTCAAAGAATCCCTTTCTTTTAGATCTATAGTCAACATTTAAGAAATAATGCATTGAAAGTTATTTCTCTTGTAATGTTCACAAATACATAATTTTATTGCAATTTTAGATTCAGCAGTTACCAAAACCAGAGACAAGGACATGTACGAACTTATAAAAAGATGTTTTGTTGCCATAATTTCTAATACCCTCACGAAAGAATTCACATAATATGATAGTATGAAAGTAGAATGGTCATTTAAAGAAACAGGGAGCAGTTTTTTTGTTTATATGTAAGTACAGGGGTAAAGTATATTAGTCAATGCATATTTTCATATTAGTTAATAACATTTTATCTAAAAGTTTTACATTTTTAACTATCAGTTTTACTTGATCAGACTTTTATTAAAAGATTGATTTAAAACTCAATATTCGTATAAAATGTAATGGCTTTTTTTATCTGCTGCTGAGAGAGACAATGGTGCTGCTTAAAAAATAAGCAAAATAGCCTTAAGAAAATGGCCGAGAAAGTCAACAGAAAAGGGTGCATATAAAACCAATACATGCTTGATATTATTTATGACAATAAAAATATATAATATAGGTGGTGGTGTCCATCAGAGGTCCATACATTGTCCAAAAGCAATGCAAAAAGAGTCGATACATGGACCTTTCATGAAGTCCAAATGGACGGCCAGGAGTGGGACACTTATATAGTCCAATGGATGTCCTTGGGATAGTCGATATGTCCATCAATGGACTTCCGATGGATATCCAATGGATTAACTTGTGCTGTCTAGGAGGGGTCATTAATCAACAATTTTGAGTGCGTTAAAATACATTATAAATGGTCGGTCGACGGAAAAAAATATTAAAATCCCTAAATAAATACCTACAAGCAAAAGAGTTAAAACATCAAACGAAAAACTAAACCTAATACCAAAATACTGAATAGGTACACGAACATATTACAAGTTGCCTGACTAATCCCGTTTCATTTACGAATATGAGTCACAACCTGAGGTCACAACGCGCGATAGCGTCCTGTGACACAAGTAAAAGGTTTGTGTGAAATTTAGTAACAGGTACGCGGAATAGGCAGGAGATACCTATTCCAAAGTTACAGGTCCAGTTTCTTTGTAACGGCCCTAGTTGGTATGGCCGTACGGCCAGCATTCGTGTGTACTTAAATCTGGTTACGCGAACACCAGCACGGCCAGTTGTTGTCACTGAACATATTATATGGTTGTTGATGAGACGTAGTCTGGTGATTGTCAAATCGTTATATGTACGGCCAGTGCCAGCTGACCGCTACGACCAACTATCCATAGTCCGCGTTAATACACTGTTGTTCTTAACAAATTTAGTCGTTTGCGACCAGCCGAGGTTGTGGTCGTGGCCATGGCAACTCTAGTGCATCTTCGCCTTTAGATTGGGTATGATACTAATAAAAACATACATTTTGTTACAACTAAACTTTTCGCCTTGTCTCTATTATCGTATCATATTTAAATCATTATTACTTATTGTGTTAACTATACCATTTTTTTGTATCTACAGTTGTTTTTAAAAAACTATTTAACAAATTTGTGTAATAATAGGAACCATAGTAATTGTGGTAACTATGGCAAATATGATAACTATGGTAACTATAGTAACTATGATGAGTATGGTAACTATAGTAACTGTGGTAACTATGGCAACTGTGGCAACTGTGGCAACTCTGGCAACTCTGGCAACTGTGGCAACTGTGGTAACGATGTTAACTATGATAACTTGTTAATTATGGTAACTAAGATGAGCAGTGGTCAAACGAATTCTGAATTAATCTGTTTTACAAACAACTCATCCCAATTATTTTAAAATGTTTAATTTCTGTTGAAGCACTCACCTTGCCAAGTAAAAAATTTCCACGACGGTTCCCACTGCCATTAATGTATAGGAAACTAAAAACGGGACTCCAACGCACAGCATGGTATTTTTTCTTCCGATTTTGTCTGCCAAATAGCCGAACATGAAAGGACCAAAGATGGCTCCAAGAGCTAGTAGCGACGAGATCCATGATATTTCGTAAGGGGTGATGGGTCTTCCGAAAGGATTTTCACTTGCGTCTTCGAGTTTAGGGATCTCTGGAGATGACCAAGTGCATGTTGTACCAGCCACGAAGAAGATTATACTGGCTGTAAAGAAAACGTATACACATGAAATATACAAAATTTACGCAGATGATTTAGTTCTATTAGCAAAAATACCAATCCCGATTACATACAATGGATAGCACCCCCAAAGGTAAGTTTATCACATTTGTAACCCTTTTAAGAAATTACTTCGACTTTAAATAAAAGTATATTTTAACCTGTATCGAGTAATACCGAAATTCTCAAAAATCATTGGCTACACAATTTTCTCCACGTTGCTCCACGTTATTTAATGGCTCTCCTACATCCTTAATGATGTAGTTGACGAGTTCAAAAGAAATCGCTTGCGCAATATTGCTCTATTGTTGGAGTTCCCCGCGCACTTTGACAGTTTATATCAGCTAATAAAAAATGTATAGGAATTATGAATTAATTATAATCATGGGTTGAAGAAAATAATTTTTTTCGAGAAAAATTTTAAAAATTGATTTTGTTTATTTCAGTCAAAAATATTTATTTTTCAACTAAATTAAAATGACCATGATAATGATAATTAATTAATTTAAATTCATCTTTGAGCAATTAATTTTATTAATTCTGTGAGGAACTTTGGACTGATTTCTTTTTCAGCATCTACTTCCAGTTCGAAGGCCTACACCCTGAAGAAAATATTTGAATTTGTCAGAGATGTATGGGCAGAAGGGACTGACAAGCAAGTCGCGGCTGTACAGTCAAAATTGTTTGTAGACGTAGGCAGTCCTTTCCTGATAACAATTGCTGCCGAAAAAAATTGAGATAAAACTTTGACGAAATTGTCGACAAGGTGGAATCAGGCTCAGCTGAAACGCAACAGATTCGAAGTTACGAATAAAAGTTGGCTGGAAAAGGCAATTTCATTCGAGGCGATTAGTGACCGAGTTTATATAATTGTTCATTCCAATACTTTTTTTTATATTATTGTAATAATATTAATTTTTTGTTATATAATGGAATAGAAATCCAAGAGCAGCCCAAAAAAAGGCGGAAAAGAATAAGTCGACTTGGGAACGCTCTTTGTGTGATGACATTTTCGACCGAAGTGTACTGCTTGAGCGCAGCCAGACGGCATGTAAAGCTCTACGGATGGTACCCGGTGCCGACATCAATCCACATTGCTTTGTTTCAGACGCGCAGGAAGCTCGAAATAAGGATATCCGACGTTACCGAGAAGATTTTACTCTTAAATATTCCCGAAAAACAAAAAAAAAACGATGCACAAAGTGTTCCATCGGCTTGTAGCATCTTCGGATACACTGACATCGAGCTTCCAGCAAATGGATATCATAGAAAAAAAAAATTCCAATGGATGTGAAAGTTCTGCTCGTTGAGCCTCCAAATGGACAACCTTGATAGCGACCCGCATGATAGCGAATAGATGTTAGCTACGAAGAAAATAACTACAATTTTTATTAATTATGTAAATATGTAATAAAAAGTTTGAATCCCAACATTTAATGCATAATAAGTAACCTGTATCTTTTTTATCCGCCATTTTGAGTTTTACAATTTCGACGACTAATTCGTAATCCATGTCCTCAAAATACCATAAATCCAAATTTTTATTCAAATCTGATAAATTTTGCTTTTTTGATTCGCCATCTTAGATCCACCATTTTTAGTTTTTAAATTCAAATGTCTAATTCATAATTATTGACTTCAACATATCATATATCCAAAGTTACATACAAATTTATAATTTTTTATCCTCCATATTGGAACCGCCATTTTGAATTTTACTTTCTTGACATCATATTCATAATCAGCGATCCAAAAAACCTACAGGGACACAGTTTTATAGGTTTTTGTATTTATTTTGTGTCTATGTCCTGGTTTTGAAGCGAGTTGGCCCACTATGAGGCGAGGCGAATCTTAGAGCACATCTAATCCAGCAATTCTTTTTCCATACATAAACAACAATTAATAATCAGATATGCACAATATAACATAAACTAAAGGATGAACACATAGTTCTAGACCAGCTGTACTCAACCGTTTTTTCTTTCGGGCCACATAAATCTGTTTGTTATGCTACACGGGCCACAATGTTCTAAAAAAGGTCATCATGTTGTTATACTTTACATACATACTAAAAAAAGGTCCTGATATTGTTTTAGTTTACATACTACTTTAAAAAAAAAAGGTCCTCATATTGTTTTAGTTTAGGAGCGCGGTGAGGGTCTGGACGACGGGAGGGTATGGACACTTCAAAATTTCCTGGTCATAATACACGTGCATTATCTGTGTAGCGTCAAAACATTTGATTTTTAGTCGAGTTAGTACTCGACTAGACGCCGTACGAATCACATTTCGCGTTTGACTTTAATAAACATTTTTTGATTTAGGAGTGTTGGGACCTATTATTTGTGTGCAAGAATATAAAGGATATTTTGATTCCAGCTTGTTATTAATTATTTATTTTGTGGCCACACCTTAAGGTAAGTCTATAGGTCATATTGATATATTGTTCATATTTGATTTAATAAACATTTTGTAATACAAATAATTTTTTGTCAATGTGTTCTTGAGGGAGGGTCAGGACAGTTGTCCAGACCGTCCCGTATGTGTCCAGAGGGTCCCACTTCTATCAATGGTTATGTGTTATTTTTCAGAAACATGCCTAGGAAGTACCGAAGGGTGACAGACAGATCTTTTCCTGCGGAAAATATGAAAAATGCCACAGAAGATGTTTTGTTGGGACGACTGTCTGTAAGACAGAGTGCAATTCAACATAATGTTCGAAAATCAACTTTAGCAGTTTATGTTAAGAAAAGCAGGGAAAGCGGAATAGAAAATGTAAAATTTTCTCCACAATATGTAACAACACAAGTGTTTTCAGATGAGTTAGAATCCGCAATGGCTAATTACCTTAGAAATTGCTCAAACATGTACCATGGCTTAACGCCTAAATCTACGAGATGGTTAGCTTACGAGTTTGCTAAAAAAAATAAAGTCAAAACCCCACCTGCATGGGAAAAAAATCATCAGGCTGGACGAGATTGGTTTACTGGCTTTTTATCCCGCCAGCCTAATTTATCTTTAAGAACGCCGGAAGCAACCAGTTTAGCTAGAATATCAAGCTTCAATCCAACCACTGTAGGTGACTTTCAGAACAAATTAGAATCTGTTTTAAAACGACACCAGTTTTTGGCATCTGATATTTATAATTTGGATGAAACTGGTGTTACTACAGTCCAGAAAGTACAAAAGATAATTGCGACAAAAGGGCAGCACCAAGTGGGTCAAGTTACCTCTCGGGAGAGGGGCGAGTTAGTAACACAAGTTGGAATCATTGCAGCAAACGGTACAACTCTGCCGCCAGTCTGGATATTCCCCCGAAAAAAATACGACCCACATAGAATGTTAAAAAATGTTCCTGCAGAATACGGTGCCATAAGCTTGGTGCATCAGAGCGAATGGATGACAAGTGATAATTTTCTTAAAGTTTTAGAACATTTTGTTAAACACGTTCGATGTTCTGCTGAACATAATGTCGTTCTTATTATGGATAATCACGAATCGCACCTGTCAGTCGCTGGGATAGATTACTGTAAAGAAAATGGAATAATAATTTTAACGTTGCCTCCCCACACGTCTGATCATTTACAACCTTTAGATAAAGCAGTATTCGGTCCTTTTAAACGTTTCTTTAATCAGGGAGCTGACGACTGGATGCTTTCTCATCCTGGACAAACCCTATCAATATACGACCTTCCAGCAATATGTTGTAAAGCATGGGACAGAGGTGCCACTCCAAGTAATATTAAATCTGGCTTTAGATGTACAGGGATATGGCCATTTGACAAGAACATATTTACTGAACAAGATTTCCTATGTTCTTATGTAACTGATAGACCTGTATCTACATCGGAACCAGAAAAATCGGCATCCAATGACATACCAGTTACGAATTTGTCACCAAAAGCTGCTTCCTCCAAAGAAGTTGAAGCTGAAGCTTTGTTATATCCAAAAGCGGGTCCATCTACTGCACCAGTCGACGAAAGTTATGTTTCACCTTCAAAAATTTTGCCATATCCAAAAGCACCCCAAAGGAAGTCCCCTACTGTGGCTAATAGAGGTCCTTTCCGAAAAAAATCAATCATTGCTACAGACACACCGGAACGAGATAATATTGCAAAAAAGAAAATGAAGATAACAAAGCCAAAGATTGATAAAAATAAAGTAAAACAGGTTAAGAAAAAGGTGTTTGTAGAATCATCTTCTTCAAGTGACGAAGAATTAAGTTATCAGGACTCATCCTCTGAATTGGAACCAGAGATTGAAGAAGAATCTGAAAACACTGAGAATCTTGAGGTCGGACATTTTCTAATTTGCAAAGTTTATGGTAAAAAGTCTGTAGCCAGAGTAGAAGAAGTAGTGTTTGGAGGCTACAATGTAAAGTTTTTAAAAAAACAGCTTCTAACAGATTTAAAAATTCCGAAGAGCCTACATCTTTCGTTCCGTTTAATGATATTGTAGTGCAGCTGCCAAATCCTATAGCTGATAGGAGCTCTAGATACAAAGACATGATTTATTTTAATCGGGATTTAACAGAATACAGTCTTTTTTAATAATATTATTCTGGATTTAACAATACAAATTTTTAAATTTTGATTTAATTGATTTTTTTTACTTAAACTTGATTTAATATTTTTTACTGTTTCAAATATGTTCGAATGCTGAGAATTATTTATTTTTTGTATTATTCTATAATACCTTCCTAAGTTACTCATTATTGGTATGATTTTAATACAAATATAATGCTTATTTAGTACTGATATTATTAATTTATTTATGTCCATACCGTCCCCACCAGTGGGTAGGGTCTGGACACTCTGCATATAACCACTAAATGGATTACTATATGTTTTAATATGATTGAATTTATTTGATTAATGCCTTAATTGTACAATACTAATGTATCAATTTATTAATGGGTTAATTCGTTTACTAAACACAATTTTAAAATTTTTAGATAAATTAAAAAAAAAAGTGTCCAGACCCTC